TAAAAAAAACTTAGTTTACAAATTTAAAAATTGACAAAATTAAGGTTTATTTAACATCTCAAATTTAGTCAAAACTATAAATATATTCTCATCATTTAGGTGGGCTAACACAAAAGGCTTGAAGTGTGAAATCTTGGGCCTTAACAAAATTTCTGAGAGGAGGCAACCGCGTGGCTTTCACGCGCTCTAGGAGCGAGTGGGGAAGGAGAGAACCTGATCTTCGACTCTCTCTGCTTAGCTTCATTGCCACAAAAACACAGAGCTTTCTTCCTTTGAGCTTCCTTCCATCTCCGTCTTTCTTCTTGCTTCAACATATGCGTCTCTCTTAAAAAATCTATTCGTAATGACCGTCGCTCTCAACGCCGGCTTCACTTCTCCGGTATGTCTTCTTCTCTTATCAACTCTATAATTCCTCCAGAAAAATCGAGATGAATTCGATTGATTTATAATCCTTTTTGGTCTTGAAAATTTGAAAGCTTTCTCGTTTCCTGGAGATTGCATAGTTTAGTTTTCTCTTTGATTTTGTGTCTTTGGGTTTTGATAAACAATGCTTTCTGCATCAAAGCTTGAAGCTCTGCTTATGTTTGCTGAATTTAACAAAAATCTTATCTTCTTGAAGCTTCATAACAGATACAATCCTGTTGTAAGATTCTCAACTCAAGCTATACCGTTAAAGCTTTCGACTTTTGCTACCGACATTTCTCAAAATGGTTCAACAAGTTTGTTACTTTCAAGCAAAAGACGATTGGTTGTATCTTGTTCAGAGACAAATGATAATTCGATTACGACGACATCCGTCGATCCTCCCTCTTCGGATTCTGTGAAACCAGGAAGTGAATCCGTTGTTAAATCGGGAAACAATGGCTCTGCAAAGAGAGCACCATTGACAGCACGAGAGAGACTAAGAGCAGCTCGTGTACTTAGCCGATACACAGAAGCAACTCCGAAACCATCAAGACCCAAAATGGGGAGCCAAATTCTTGATGTGCTCAAGGAAAGCGATAAGAAATCGAATAGGAAACCGGGTTTACCCGAAGCACCTACCAATATGCTTGATGATAGCAGGAGAGGTATGCCGAAGAAAGGTCTTACATTTGATTTCCCCGGAGGTTCAGATATACTCGTCATAGCTTTCTCCTTTGTGTTTATAAGCACGGTGATGTTTGCTACTACTTTTGTTGTCTGGAAACTCGGTGCGATTCACTTCAACGAAAACTAAAGATAAGATGTATACAAGTTTAATGGATTTCCAGAGTTTGTAAAACCATCAAGCTGAGAGTGAGAGTGAGTACTGAGTATTGTGGTACGGTTGGTTCAAATGCATACTTGGTGATGTTCATAACATGGGCTAAGCCGGTTTTAGTGTATATACATACTATGTACTACACATAATTTTGCTATTCACTCTCTTCAAGCTTCTTCGTTTGCAAGATTTTAACCTTTTACATTGTATCTTCTTGTTATCAAAACATCCATGGAAAATGATCATATGACCCATGAAATCTTCAAAGATGTAACGGATTTGGGGAGTAGACCAAATGATGAAAAATTATTGAGATTTGGGTAAATTAGTGTTTGCTCATCTAGTGAAAAGAATAAACGAGATAACAAGGGGGCCTCGGAATCTACAAAAGCCATAGAGCAATCTATATGGACAGTGAAAAGTGATCAACACGATGATAACACCTTTCATCATCAACAGTTTCAAGCTTTGCAAGGTAAACAAGCAAGAGGCAGAGAAGCTTTTTTTTAAACTCAATTTTAAGTTTTGGTTTATTCAACAAGTGAGATTAATGACGGTCTCTATATCCACAAAATGATCATTGTTCCAACAGCTCATTTACTAACTCCAACGAAATTTTAAATCTTCATTTGGGTCTAGGCAAAAGAAATACTATGCATCAAACACATCGACCAGATGAGCACACATATTGATGTAAGAAACAACATCCTAACCAGCCAAATGGAGAAGGGTGTGATCAATATAAGTAAAAACCATTTGCAAATGAACTATAATTTCAATCTATAAACATTTGAGAATGATTAATCTGAAACTAAAGATACCAAAAGATACATACAATTGATCTATCTCGGATGACTGTTTCTCAACTAGTAGATACGCAAGAGAGTAATATGAAGATAAAAGCTTAGCATTGATTGAAGATAGAAGTAATCCAATAACAGAAACGTAGCTTCTCATAAAACTTGAAACTAATAAGACAAAATCAGTATCAAAAACTGAAGCAAATGAAACACAAAAGCAGAGGGGGAAAAGCGAAAGACTTGTCGAGTGTGAAGCGTCTACTTAGATCTCTGTCTCATCTTTCTTCTCTTCCTCTTCAACCTCCTCATACGCTTCTTCTTCCACTGCAAAACCAAAAAAACACAATCAGATCCACAATTTATTATCTCTCAGAATCCAAAGGAAGAAACTTATTGAAATTAGATCATGTGAATCAAAGAATGAAATCAACAAGATTTGGATAATCATATTTACCTTAGCTCTCATGATTCAGAAACCTTTTTTTTTTCTGTCAAAACCCTAATCCACACGGTTTCTCGCAGTGAGAGTGATGATGGTATATATATTCCAGAAACCCTAGAGAAGAAATGAACGAGACCAATGGACATGTAGGCCCTTTTAAAGTATGGGCCTTAAAACGGCCCGTTTAGACTGTTTTCTTCCTTTGTATCATCATTTCTAAATGTTCCGGCTAAAACCCTATCAGAAGCAAAATCTCAGTTCATTCATTCGACGATGTCTCTTCTTCTCCGGCGATTCGTTAATGAAGCAAACAATTCCAGATTTCTCCTTCAACGATTCTTTGGCACCGTAAAACCTAATCCAATTGCTCCTTCTGGTCGTCGGACAACCACAGAGTTCGATAACCTCATCTACGAAGCAGGAAACTCCGGCGACTTCGAATCCGTACGTCGTCTACTCAACAGCCGCGTCGTACACGCTTGTTTCAACACCACCGCGACATTCAAATTCCTCACCAACACCGCCTCTTACGCCTCCTCACTCGAAGATCTCCGCCGCATTTTACCTCATACCGACGCCGGTTACACGCGGAAACACGCTTACGAAACTCTAATCGCTCGTCTCTGCAAACTCGGCCGGATCGACGACGCTCTGATCCTGATCGGCGATATGGTAAACGGGAGATTCGGCCTCGCTTCCTGCACATTCCACCCGATCATAAACGCTCTCACGAAGAAGAACAAGATCGAAGAAGCTTGGGTCGTGGTGGAATCGATGAGATCTCACTCGATTCCGGTGGACGTGACGTCATACAACTACTTTTTAACATCGCACTGTTACGACGGCGACGTGGCGGAGACGAGCAAGGTGTTGAAGAAGATGGAGGAGGAAGGTTGTTCGCCGGACACGCGTACTTACGACGCGCTTGTGTTAGGCGCGTGTAAATCAGGGAACGTAGAGGCGGCGATGGTGATACTGAGGAGGATGGAGGGAGAAGGATTACCGGTATTGTACGCCACTCATGCGCACGTTATCGGAGAGATGATGGAGTGTGGCTATTATGCGCTAGCTGTTGAGTTTGTGATGGCTTACGCTGGTAAAGATAAGAGATTAGACGAAGAGAATATGGGAAGTTTGGCTAGTAAGCTTATCAAGAGGAAGAGGTTTAAAGAAGCTAAGTTGGTTTTGAAAGAGATGTGTGTGAGAGGATTGAGAATGGGAATTGCTTTGCGTGATTTTTATGAGACCAAATGTGCTAAAATTGACGATTGATGATTATAAGAAGACGATCACCATTGTAAATGTGAAGATTTTGTAGTAAGCTTCTCTGCATTCTTTTTTCATATGCCTTCTCTGTTCTCAATAAGCAATGTTTATAAACCGGAAAGATTTCGGGTCATCGGGTTGATCCAGTACAGATTAAATCGCACTGCAGCTTAAAAAGAAAACACATGATATATAGAAAATGGTGAACAAGATTGTTTAATGTACAAGGGAGTAGTATTTACAGCAAATGACACTTTCTACTTTTATTGGCAATATGTAACATGAGACTTTCTACTTTGGGAGGCTTAGCTCCCAGTTAGTTTAGTGAAACCTGTACTTGTTCAAGATGAATGTGAGATCCATTTAGTTGGTAGTTCCAATACCAGCTTCCTGTTTCCATTACATCTCCTTTCATTGCTTCCAAGTTCATGACGAAACCTAAAGCTGACACCAAATAATGCAATCAGTCAATGCTAGTGTCGATATAGCCTTATTTCTTATCTATCATTGCTTTTTTGTATAAAAAATTCACTGACCTGAATTTCCTCGTGTGATCTTCAGTCTGTGACCGTCTGGTACTTCAAAAACTTGGTTTCCCTGTGTCATTGATAAAGAGAATATAAATCACTTGATTTGAAGCAGACACTCTACTCGTTGTTTTGCACAACGATTTAACTTCCATTCTACTTTTACATTACCTGTATAGTTACATTGCTGGCTTCAAATTCTGCATTTCCGTGCAATATGATTTTACAAGTCTCAAGCCGGTTCACATCGTTTCTCCAGTAAACATTTGATTTACTGTTCCAATCGATACCTCGGTTCACTACCTTGACGTTATGCAGTTTACACTTGCCACACCTACCGAAAAAAAGTGTTATGTGAATTAACATAAGCAATCCAATAGACATATATCTTACAGAAATAATAAAGTACAAGATTATTATTATTAACTGCTCGCTATACCTTAGTCCGTATTGTAATATTGGTTCACCATTTTCGTTAATTGTTGTCGAACCCATAGCATTCTCAGCAGTGATGATCAAGCTACCATCAACCTATGCGACAGAAGCTGATTTAGAATTTAAGAAACTCAGCACAATGAAAGCTATGCAAAATCTAGTTGACAGAATAAAATATTGAGAACCTGAACATTGTTCCATGAGAACTCTGCAATCTCTAGTTGCAGCTCTGAGAATCTGGAAATAGACCCTCCCTTGAACTGGAATAGAG